TTTTGCATTTTATATTGCTTTTTTCTATCTATCTATCTATCTATCTATCTATCTATCTATCTATCTAAAGTGAGTTCTAAGCTGCTTAGATCGCCTACACAAATATAAATGTTTCTCAATATGGACATGCTACATCGTTAGATTAGTTAGATTCTCCAAAATTCAGTTGTTCTTTACATTTTTCTTTGCTAAGCAAGAGTTTTTTGCAAAAAGAAAGAAAGAATTAAAGGCGTGTCCATATAAACAGCTGTTCCAAATAAAGACAGCTTGAGTTCAATAATTTAAGCAAATAAGCCCGGGCTATTAATGCCAATTCCATCAGTATATGAATGCGTGTGAATGGGTGAAAGTAACATACAGTGGAAATCGCTGTGAGTGGTAGGCGCTATTCAAGTCCAGTCAATTTACCATTTAACTGTGTACATACAGGCATGCACATCATAGGCGTGCTCTGGCTCTTAAACAAATTGCTCTACACCTCTGGCTGACCTGAGGACAAACTCTCAGTGTTTTCTATCTAGCACTATTGTGTAGTGAGGTATAACATTTCTGCCTATAGAGCCTGCAAACAGAGTTTAATCTTCTTATCTTTATTGCTTGGAGTGCCTTTAGATTCTTCTATTTACCACTCATTGTCTGTGCTTCTCCCGCCCATCTGAGCTGCCATATTATTTTCTGACACTCTTTTACATATCTGAATGTCATATTCCTTTTCAAAGAGAGACCAGTATTTTGTGAATGAATGGTGTGAGTGATATTGTGCCTATGTTTGTGTCCTTTTTTCAGGAAAGAAGAAAAAAGGCAAGGGGAAGTAAAAAAGGCTGTACAGAAGAGTCTCCGGGTATAGTCTTCAGCAAATAAAAATACAACAAACACTGTGTGAACCAGTTGTTCTCAGACAGTTGGACAGTGGCCCAACACCAATAGATTTATAGCTTGATTTACATACACACATTTTTGAATCTTCTCCAGGCTTTGAAGAAGATATACTTTATTGATCCCCTAGGGGAAATTGTTTTTTTCACTCTTTTTATACACACACACAGGCTCAAATGCACACTTCATGCACTTGTGGACATGCAAAGGGGA